CCAAAAAAAAAAAAAAAAAAAAAAAAAAAAAAAGATGAATGTAGGGGGCTGGGGATTTAGCCCAGTGGTTCTGCCTGCCTTGCAAGTGCAAGGTCCCAAGTTCGATCCCTGCTACCCCCCCAAAAAAATATTTTTTTATTGAGCCATTGATTTAGATCAGTGGTGCTGTGCCTGCCTCACAAGTGCAAGGTCCTGATTTCAATTCCTGACACTGGAAATAAAATTAAATAAAAATTTCTTTATAATAGGAAAGAAGAAGTCAAATTACCAGCACCACTGTCTAACTTCCCCATGACTCAGAATTGAAGCATCCAGACACAACTACTGAATGAGATCAGGGATCAGGGATCCATTGAAGTTCAATATTAGAAATTTGAAAAAGCCTAGTGATTTAGTTTGAGAGAAGGAAAGAACACACTGGCGTGGAGCCCTCACAGAGAACAGTTAGCTCAAGAACAGAGGAGTAAAACATCCAGCCAACATCCACGTCCAAGTAGGCACAGCTAAGAAAAGCCTGAAGACCAGCTCCTGGACATCCACCCTACAGAAGTACCACAGGCAACAATGAAAGTACCACAGACACCACCTACAAAGGGCACAGCAAAGGCACACCCCTATCAAATATATGATGTTGACATGAAGAGAGCAGCAGCCACAGAGGTTGTACCCCATACATTACACTGTTAACAACACAACATCTAGAGAATATTCCATCCAACAACTGCAGAATACATTTTCTTTTTAGCAGCTCACGGAACTTTCTGCCAAATAGATCATACTTCAGGTGACAAAGCAAGTTTTACCAAATACAAAAAAAAGAAATAATTTTATGCATCTTATCAGATCATAATGGAATGGAATGAAAAGCAAGAGGAACTATACAGACACATGGAGATTGAATAATACAATTTTTCTCTTTCAAAATTTTAATTATTAGTACATGCTTATGATGATACATTCATCATGGGGAGTTTGTACATGTACATAAACATGTTATATACATGAATAATACACTTTGAACAAACAGCCATTGAAGAAATCCAGGGGGATTTTATTTTTTTGTACCAGGGATTGAACTTGGGACTTTGTGCTTACAAAGCAGGTGGTGAAACCACTGAGCTAAATCCCCAGCCCTCAAGGGGGAATTTTTTTTAATTCTTATAATCAAATGAGAATGAAAACATTCCAGAATCTGGGCAGTTCTAAGAGGGTAATAGGTGAGTGCCTAAATTTAAAAAATCAGAGATATCTTAAATAACTTAGAAAAGTAAGACCAAGCCAAACTCAGAACTCATAAAAATAATAAAATCAGAATTGAAATTAATGAAATAGAGACTAAAAGAACCATAGGAAGGATTAATGAAACAAAGATTTGGTTATTTGAAAAGATGAATAAGATTGATAAACCCATAGCCAAACTAATCAAAAGAAAGAAAACATATTAATACAATTAGAGGTGAAAGAGGGAGTATTACAATGGATACTACTGAAATCTACACTTGATCTTAGCCAAAAGGCTGAGAAGCAATTATATACTACTGAAATCCAGAGAATCGTTAGGGACTATTTTGAAAATTTACAATCTAATATACTGGAAAAATCTAGAAAAATGGATAAATTTCTGGACACAGATGGCCTACCAAAATTGAACCAGGAGTCTAGACAGATTGGTAACAAGTGGTGTAATTAAAGCAGTTATAAAAAGTCTCCCAAGAAAGAAAAGCACCGAACTGGACAGATTTACTGCTGAATTTTACCAGACCTTTAAAAAAAAAGCTAATACAAACTCCTTTTGAACTATTCCATGAAACTGAAAAGATAGCATTGCTTCCAAATTTATTCTACAAAGCCAGTATTACCCTTGACATTAAAACCTAACAAGGACACAACAAAAAAAGAAAACTAAAGATCTCTTCATCGATGAGCATAGATGCAAATATTCTCAATAAAATACTTGCAAACTGAATTTAACAACACATTGTTTCATTATAGGAATGCGAGGATGGCTCAATATACACAAATCTATAAATGTAACTACATGAATGGAATCAAGGATAAAAATCATATGATCCCCCTTCTTTCCTTTCTTCTACCTCTCCCAGAAGGGAATGGAATTAATATGAGAAAATGAAAAAGTCTTTGTAGATGGGGGGGCCGCTGAAGGGAGGGCAGGGTAATGGGTAAAAAATAAGAGCCAAGATGGATTTATGTAAAGATTCAAATTTCTGATGATGTATGACATTATATTGTATACCTTAGTAAGTACATGAAAAAATATTCAATTTTTTTAGACTAAGGAAATGCTAATCAAACTATATTGAAGGCTGGTGATTTAGCTCAGTGGTGCCGCCTGCCTCGCAAGCACAGGGTCCTGAGTTTGATCCCCGGTACCCAAAAAAAACTATGTTGAGATTTCATCTCAGCCCAGTCAGAATGGCTACCATCAAGAATACAAAATATAATAAATGCTGGCCAGGCAGAGATTAAGAGGAGATCCTGTTTTACACTGTTGAAAATATAAATTAATACAGCCATTTTGGAAATGAGTATGGCGGTTCATCAAAAATAGAGCTAACATTTGATCCATCTCTACCACTCCTGGACATATGCCTGTAAGAATTAAAGTCAGCATGCTATAGAGATACCTGTATATCCATTCTTACTGTGGACCGATTGACATTAGCTAAGCTGTGGAAACTCTAGGTATCTACCAACAGGTGAACAGATAAGAAAGTGTGACGTAAGAAAGTAAAGGGAGGTGCAGGGCCCTCATCCAGCTTCACGGCTCTGCAAGAGCTCTGGCTCTGAGCACAGAGGAGCTCATGACCGGATCCTCCTTCTGTCTCCCATGTGTGCCTTCTGTGCTCAGAAGCCCCAGGGTTGGGCATGGAAACTGGCACAAAGACTTGCAGCCCACCTTTGGGGGGTCCCACAGGTGCTCTGTAGGAGGAGCAAGAAATCCATCAAAATTAGCCAAGCAGACTTGAGAACGAGGTACCAGGACTAAGCATCACAGCAAAACACAAATGGTGCATTGACCCAAATGCTGTGATGTTGATATCAGGCATGGATTATAATGTAACAGCCACTGTATTTAAAGGTAGAAAAAGATTTGAACCAACTGCACTGCTTTAGAGAACAGGAATCCATCACAAATGGTAGAGCTTCCAGAAATGAAAACCCTAAATGTAGTGGACAGGAGATTGTGAATCAGTGAATTTGTGTGGTAGCTTAAAACACAGAGCTGCAGCCCTCACACACTGAACCCTGAACCTGAGAGGGCAGAAACTGGCGACTTCGGGGACACTTGCTCTGGTGCCCTCCTGACCAGACTGGAGACGATGGGCAGAGCAGTGCCACTTACTGAGGAGTTGGCATTAGCTGTAGGCAGAGCCAGGCTGGGGATGCTGAGCTGGGCCACCCAGCCAACTGTGCAGCCTGATGGGACAGCCAACTTTGGACAGGGAGAGCAGGGAACTGTGGAAGAGCCCGGGGAAGGATGCAGCGAGGAAGTGTACAGCTCCAAGAGGCTTGAATAATCTCAGAAGAAGCAGGCATGGAGCTCAGTGCTACTCAGCCAGCTGCTTCAGTGTCTCCAACATAGAGTAGAAACCGCTGCAGATCTCTGATGAAGACAAGTAGACATGGGGTATGGTGTCCTCCTCAGGAAGCCTCTGTCAGTGGGAGGGGCAGGGGCAGCAAGGACGTCCTCCCCAGACAGGGAGGGAACCAGCGCCCAGCAAGGGAACCAGCCAGGGGGCAGAGGACAGGGTGTGGTAGCAAAGCCAGCTGCCCCACTGTACTCAGAAAGTTCCCAGGGAGAGGGTGCAAGGACCTGAGGCACACACTGCACACTCTGGCCAGGTGAGCCTTCCTGCCCTGGGTGACCCAGACTCTGTGCTGCAGGACGTGGCAACTCTGTGGGGGGCTCCTCTTGGCAGCTGAGCCTGTACTGAAGTTCAAAGAAATGTAAATAACCCAAAAGATCTACAGAAAATGACTGTCTCAATTTTTAAAACTTTTATCTTTATTATTTTTATGGTATATGTTTGCAGTAAATGATGAGTGCTTTCCTCATGGGGAGTCAGTGCATGTACATCACGTACCTTGATTCTTTATTCATCCCCTTCCTGTCCCCTCAGCTCTTGGTCCCCTTTCCCATGTTTCCCTGTCTCCCTGTTTCCTATGATCTATCTTTTGTTTTTTATACTTCAGGTTTCTCATGTAAGAGAAACCATGTGATATTTAATCTTGTGAGTCTGATTGATTTCATTTAACATTATGGTCTCAAGGTGCATCTGTTTTCCTACCAGTGACTCAAGCCTAGCCTTCTTTATGGTAGAGTAGTACTCCACTGTGTAATAATGTGGCTGCCTTTAAACCCAACAGAAACAGGCATACAGGTCAAGCAAGCCTCTGAGCGCCTGGGTGGAGGACCTCAGCCAGCGCCTGGACTTCCTCGCCACCTGGGCTCAGGCAGCCCACACAGCCTTGCACTGCCGGTAGGAGGGGCTGCTGTGGCTTGTTCTGTCTGGGTTCCCTTGGAACACGGGGACAAAGGAGGGAGACCCATGCCTTCCTTCAGGGTGGTAAAACAGAGTGCCCAGCTGAACCCTTCCAAGGCAGCTCTGTGTTGGGACAGAAACGACAGCATGCTCAGGGCACCCTGGAAGAACAAGAGTCAGCAATGGGTTTGGATGGGACAGATGTGGGGGAGAGGCTGATTGCCCAGGGGTGATCCACAGAGAGGCTGGCCCCGCTGCCCATGGTCCCATCCTGAGTGTCAGGACTGATACAGACAGGGGCCAGCGTGCTGGGAGTGCTGAAGTCTGTGCCCAACAGCCATAAAGAGGACCCTTGAGGCCCAGCCCAGCATCCTGCCACCCCAGCCTCAACCCCCTCAAGCTGTAGGACACTCTTGTGTCCATCACAGAGCATGGTGGGTTAACAGGGAGGTGGAGGCCCTCACCTGCCATCCTTCTCACACCCCCAGGTACCTGAAATTTATCACCTCTTGGAAGCAGGCTGCTTATCCAGCAGCCCCCAAGTCCAGGCCCCCTGCTGACCAAGGCAGCAACCCCTGGGAAGCATTTCCCAAGAGATACTGGCTTCTGGCCTCCTTCTTCCCACAAGGTGAGCCTGGGCACTGTGCATGGGATGCTTTCCACTGCCACTGGCCCACCCAACCTAGGCCTAGAACTGGGCCTGACGCACCTCCCCATCCCTGTCCTTATCACCCTGAAACACCTGAAACAGACCCCACCATCGAGCATCCCCAGTGCCTTGGCAGGGCACTGGCCCCGAGGCATTGAGATCAGTGGCCAACGCTGGGCCCTAAGGCCATAGGAGAACCCTGGGCTGGGCACTGAACCCCAGGCAGACCTGGTCAGTTAGAGATCAGGAGACAGCTTGCTGGGTTGTGTGGGTGTGGTCCTGTGCAGGCCCCTCCCCGTCCCTGGGACAGGAAGGGCTGTCCTTGCCCTGTAGCTCTCAGTAAATATCTGGAGTGAGCCTGGCATTTAGCTTAGTGGTTCTGCTGCCTGCCTCACTAGCACAAGGACCCGACCCAAGTTCGATCACCAGTACCAAAACAAACAAAAAAAACCCCAAAATCTGGAGTGCATGGCCTGCATGAACTCATGTGTGACTCCGTGCTGGTGGAGTCCAAATGGGGATGCTGCTCCAGGGCACGGAAGGCCACTAAGGAGTGACGTCCAAGATGGCCATGAAGCAGACCACAAAGCCCATCAGAGAAACAAAGTCCATTACGGCAGATTGCAAGGCTGCAGGGAGGGTGGTGCAGGTTGGGGCTGGTAGAAGCTGATGGGCCAGGAAGTAGCCAGGAAACCCTGCGCTGGACTGCAGCAACTAGGTGGCAAGAACCCTGGAATGCAATCACCCCAGAGTTGTAGGCAGAAAAGAAATGAGGCTCTAAAGCAACATTTTTATTTTCAACTTTATTTCCAACTTAAAACTTCATTGTAAAGCTTATCAAATGTTTCAAAAGCAAAATTTAAAACAAACTGTAGGTAATGTAGAAAAATGCAGCCCTCTCTTCCTTGCCAAGGAGAGAACGGAAACCCCTTCCATCCCACCCCAGCCTTCACGGTAGGTCCAGCACAGAAAACACTGCACACCACTATAGCACCAGGAGGGAGGAATTAAAACAGCAAAGAAAAACATGCTGACACACAAAAGCACTAGTAAGGTACTGACAGTTCCACCAGGACACAATACTAGACTAGCAAACCAACCTTGGGATCACATTCAGGGACTAAGTCACACACACTTCCAATTGCAGAGCGGGATGAGCACTGCATTTGCCAAGGGCTCCTCCACTGTGTGCGTTCTCCTGTGTAACACGTGGCACATGCACTACATTTCCCTGTACTTAAGATATAGGGAATGATTCAGTTTTGAATATAGAAGTTTAGTGAATTTGCTACTGTTCAATTACAAGACAACCAATAATGAATAAGGCTACAACAACTTCATTATAATTTAATGGCTAAAGCTACCTTATACCCATCTATTAAACAAATTTAAATCCCTTGGGTTGTTTTTAGATAGCACTCTTTTACCAGAAGTAAAATTTTACAGATATAAATGGTACATAAAATACAGATTAGACCGCATGAGATAAACAGTAGCAAAACACCGCTGAATTTTAAAAGTAAAAAAATATATAAAAATATTAGCCTAAAGTGGCAAACTTTCAAACACTAATATGTAAAAATGTTTAAATAGTGATGTTCCTCCAAAAATATATATTTATTCTATTTTTTCTATTTGCAACAGTGTATAAAGGCAACCATGACCTACAGTTGAGGTAGCAAAGCCAAAAATCACAAACTCTGGGTTAAGAAAAATACCTTTCCTATGTTTTAACAGCATCTTCTATACAATATTAAGTGAATTCTAATTGTTTCAAAACTTCTAATTCACATGTATTACTTTATAAAACAATTTTAAATACTAAAAATGTTAAAAAGCTATTACATTCTGACATTTATCTTACAATGAAAACACTGTACAAAAGAAATCTGCAGCTACTGTATATTACATACAAGTAAGCTATTTATTTACACCTTTCCAATGCAGGTTTAGAAGCTGAGGTTAAGACGATGACTGTACCATCTCCCTGCAACAGCATGCTGCCTGCACCACTCCTCATACCTTCAAACCACACAGCTAGGAAATGCTTTAAAGAGAAAGGAATGGAAGTTCTATTCTCTTAATGCAGTGAAACAGAAATGTATTTTAAATGCAACAGTGTTTTAACAAAAAACAGCTAGCAAAAGGAAATATATCAAAATTTGAAAGGAATCAAAAACTATGAACATTAATAAGAGTATTTTTTCAATGCATTTATAAGAAAAACTGTCTTCAGATTTGTAAGGGTTGAAATTTTCCTGTTAAGATACACAGTCTAACATTCTTATTTGTGTTTTTCCTTACACTGTTGCAATTTAAAAATAAACAGGGCTCCACGAAAGACCTGTTTGGCTCGCCCGTCCGGCACGCACCCGGCTGGCCAGGTGGGCAGGTGGTCAGTACACGCCGGGCAGCAGGCGGTATGGCACACACTGGCAGTACCGCTCCCAGGCCAGCCCGTACTTCCTTCGGCACTGCTGCTCGTCCCGTGCCTCCCGGTGCACCAGCAGCATGGCAAAGTAGACCACGTAGAAGTACGGCAGTGCATGCTTAAAACCTGCAGGTGAGAACGCAAACAGGCTGAGGTTTTTCTTGTCATGACACTGTGTTTTCTTCCTGCTTTTCCCTAATTCTCTAGGAACCAAAGTTTTCCAGAATCTAAGTGCCCTGAGTCATAAATTTAAAGTTCCATACTCTGCTGAGAAAAAACACACTTGGGCACAGTTTAAAACTCAAAAACTTTACTTTTAGAAGCTTAAAGTTAAAGCTGCAGGCTCTGAATCCCAACTTCCCTCAGGAGATGGGTGGGAAGGTGCTGTCCATACAGAGCAGCAGCACACTGCCCCTTGCAGGGCACCGCCAGGGCTCCCGCCCACCTGCACTCACCACATGGCAGGGACCATGCCAGGGCCATGATGAGGTCGCCCAGGTAGTTGGGGTGGCGGACAAAGCCCCACCAACCGGACACCAGGAGGTTCTTTCCCGTGGAAGTGTGAATGGTTTTCAAATCTATACAGAAAAATACATTCTTAATGATCCCTAAAAAGGAGAGATATAAAATCCCCACGTAATGCACATCACATCAATATGAATCCATACTCACGCGCAAGCTTTGGATCAGTGGGATTTTTCCGGAATGCATTTTTCTGAGAATTTGCACATCGGAAGATTATGTATCCACAAACTGTAACAATGAAGTATTTTTCTATGTCAATAATTTAGATATTATCTAATACTGAAAGTGATTTTCAATTTCTGCTGGAAAAATTTTTGCTTTGAGTGAATGTCCGAATCAGAAAATACTCTTGATTTCTTAAAAACAATTCAAAAACTCTCAACATCAGGTCAAGAGATAACTCTTCTGAAATTCTTTATCATCTATCTTGAAGATAAAACTAACAATTACAGTCACATCCACAAAAGAAAGCAAAACCTAAGACACAACCATGTAGTCCTGTGTCCCCTGGCCACAGGCCAACCTCAGCTCAGGGACGTCCCTCAGCATGAACACCTGCGTGAAACTGCACGCTGTAAGTTCCTAGCTGTACTCGTGTTTACAACGTCAGGGTCAGCAGGCCCTGACCTCTCACTACTGACGACTGCACTGCCAGGCTGAGGAACCCCACGTGAGCCTCACTATCAAATGCACAGCCTGTCCAGAGCACACCAGCACGGCTGGCCCAAAAATCCAACCCAGTTATGAACAGCCCAGGATCTAACTGACAGCTCAGGTGTCTTCTTCCATTACGAACTAAAGTTAGTGCAGGCAAGGCAACTGTATTTAACATTCAGTGCCGATTGTCCCTGAGGTGAATAGTGGTGGAATGCACAGACTCGAGTCAGATCAAAACCTGGCCCTCCAGTGAGGGCATGAACCTCTCTGCCCCTAAGCCCTCAGAGCTGCAACCTCAGTGCCTCCCTTCCAGTTAGGATATAAGCCCTTTGAAGCCAGGACCAATCCTGCTGGTCTTACGATAACTACTTGAAAAAGCAGACACTCAGGAGAGAAAATAAGCTCTTACTAAAACAATTTATGTTTAATCTACTTAAACTTGTTAAATTTAGAAAACATGTTTTGTTTAAAATTATTCAACCACTCACAATTCTGGGTAGGAAGCACTGTTCTCTCTCCTCTATCACAGCTGGCTGGGGCCACTTCAAACAGCAAGTGACAGACAGGCAGACACCAGAGCAAGGACACACAGTGCACATCCCCATGCCCAGAGCCCGAAGTAGACACTCACGCTTCAGAGCGATGATCAGTGTGGCCAGTGGCCAGGACAACTCGTGGGGATGGCGGACAAGGTAAAAGGCCTGCAGGCTGTAGGTGAAGGGAACCCACACCAGATCCCCAAAGGCCAGCATGAACCCAAACCCGTCGTGAACAATGTCCATGGTTGTCAGCAGCGCCTCCTACAGGGACCATGAGGAAAGAAAGAGCTGCTCTGTTTAAAGCCTTCACACAAAGGGCTGGTTTTAAGTCAAGTGTGTGAAGCTGTTACCATCAGTAAAATGGCCTTCCGAGTAACTGGGGTACAAATCCAGCTTTTATGCATTTTCTGAGCAGAAAACAGGCTGCACGGCAACCTGGTAAACTGACAGCTTCATCTCTCAGGCCGGGTGCCACAGAGACAGGGTAGACCCTGTGGGCAGCTCTGGACCCTCAGCCACAACTGGCGGCCACACCTGGGCACTCCCAGGACATTGTCTAACTGGAATTCTCAGCTGTCTGGTGTGGCAGATGGATGTCTTACCGATTTTAAAAATCAACTGTGACAAGAAAGAAAGGTTTAACACAGCTGTCAGGAGTGAGAACTCCAATCTGGAACACAAGCTCCACACTCCTAGGAGGCCTCGGCTACACAGGAGCACACCTGTCCCTGCCAACATCCAGTGCTTCCCTACTGAGCCACCACTCAACTCTGGAGACACTGCAGTCCTTCTGAAAGGACCAGGCCACAAGCGATCACCCCTTACTGTGCCCCATGCCGAACTGGGGTCTGTGCTCCTCAGAGAGGTACTGACTCTGCTGCCCAACAGCAGGGCACCACACTGCCAGGGCCACATGCTCGGAGTCATCCTGAGTATTCGTCACAATCTCACACAGGAGGCCTACTTGGGAGACCGGGTTCAGTGAAGAGCGGGGATGAAGGACAACCAAATAATCATTAAAAGGCATCAGACTCAAAGCAAAGGGACCTCCTCTCCGAGTGTCAGCAGATGTCACAGAAACTTGTTCTGGCACATTAGTGTGGGGCTGCCAAACTTTGTTTTTAAAATTGAAAAAAGAAACCTGACTTGGAATGAGGAGATGATTATAAATCGAACAGTAAATGTGACTTTTTAAAAAATTATAACATAGGCCTGAGGAAGAAATGATTTTTAAAGGGAAATGTTTAGTGGGAAATTTTTAAAGGGAAATGATTTTTAAAGAGAAATGTTTAGAGCTGGAGAGGACTAGTGAAACATCCACCGTTCTCAGCAGCAGCAGCTTAACCAACTGTGAGAACAGCTGTGAGCAGAAACAGCTTCTAAAGAAAGCTCGCTTCCTCACTGTCTTGATTTTTGCTTTTACATCCATCTGATCAGAGCCACACTCTGTATTTTGAAACATCAACATTAAAACATCTTCCCCCTTTAAGAACTAGTTGCCTCTTATCAAAAAATAGCACTCCAATTCAATTATCCATGCATTTCCATGTAATAATTAAGAAGTTAAATTTTAGTGAGTGGTGACCAATTCAGACAAGTAAAACAAAAGCCCAGATGTGTCAGTCTTAAATATTTAGAATGTTGTTTCTAAGCAGAGCCATAGACAGACATGTGGCCACTAGCACCTGCTCTTGCCATGACACCACAAGGCATCATCCTCCCTCCCTCTGTGCAGAAGCAGCAAGGCTCCCAGTGGCCAGGCCACCCACCTACTTCCCAAGCCACGGGGCCTGTGCTCCTATAGTTCCTTACCTCATTCCAGAGAGCATCTATCACGTACAGAAGTTGGAAGCTGTTCACCAAAACCATTGCCAAGGATGGAGCAGCCCGGTTCTGCTCCTTCATTTCAGCCAAAAGCATCGCCAGGTTAATCACCACCTGTGATCGAAGGGGAGGGAAGTCTCAAGGTTGACCACACACGGGGCCAGGCTGACGTCCCACTGACAACTGCAGACACCGTCAGTCATGCCAGTGCTGGGCAGGGGACTTCCATACCACACACCCCAGCCACAGTGCCAGAGGACGCAAGGTCATTTCCTTGGTGTTCTTGACAGAAACACATAAACTCACCCCAGTCATGAGAAAATATCAGACCAACCCAAGCTGGGAACATTCTTAAATAAAATCCTAACGATCACGCTTCAAAAAATGTGAAGGTAATGAAAGGCCAGGAAAGACAATGGCCAGAGTACAACAGACTCCAAGGAAGCAACAACGGGATGCTCCAGGACTGCAGGGACCCTGGAACTGAGGACACACAGAAACCCTGAGAGATGCCATGGCGTCGTGAGCGTCTATTCCTGGTATCACTAAGTGAAGGATATGGGGACCCTGTTCTGTGTGTGCTGCCCACCTCAAAAGCTGCAACTAGGTCAGAATAGGTTTTTGTTAAGGGGAGGTAAGTATTTTTTCTTACATTAATTCACCTCCACTATGACTTTCATACATAAACTGATATAGAAACAAATTTTAATACAGTAACTTATATCACAGCATCTTAAAACTCTAGGAAATATTTATAGTAAAATATTTTATGTCAAGTAGACAGAACTATGGAAAGCTATCATTATCCCTAAAAACATGTCCACATTTGTTTCTAAATGCAAGGCATATGTGTACTACTGAACTGGAATTCTTAAAGAAGACGTACCCATCCCATCAGGCCAGGGCGTAGTTCACAGAAGTATTTGAGATCAAAAGAACCAATTCTTGGATTCAACTCACGTCCAATGAAGAAATCATAGATAGCATTTCCTGAGAACAGAGAAGATTTTACCAAATGGTGCTCCAAACCCAACCACAGGCTTTACGGCCACCTGCTGTCCATCCCCGGGGCCCCAGACCTGCTTCTTTAGAGGACTGCAGAGCCCCTGGCTGCTCCAGGGGCAGAGGGCACAGCCTCCATGAGAGCCCCACACTGGTGCCCCAGGTGACCAGATCCCAACTTGGAAGGAATAGGATTTTATTTTCAATGTACAGATTTTTTTTAAATATGGAGCTTTTCTTTTTAAGTTTTACCAGAGTTAACCAATTTGCAACAGCTTTTTTTTTTTTTTTTTTTTGGCACTGGGGATCAAACTCGGGGCCTTGTACTTGTGAGGCAGGCGGTGGCACCACTGAGCTAAATCCCCAGCCCAGCTATTGTCTTTTTAAAGGGTGTCTACTATTCTGGACAAACAGTCTCTATCATAACTTACAATTCTTAAAAATTCAAAAAAATGTCTACATTATCAAGAAACCGAAAATAGGAAGGGAAACAAATAGCAAAGTAGGAGGAAAAGTCAAAAATATTTTTTTCCTTTAAATTAACTTCCCTCTACATTTCTTCTTCATCTTTTATGCCCTGTTTCTCTTCATGCCCCACAAAATAAAGCTAGAGATCAAAGCGATCTCCACAGGTGTGGAAGTAGCTGCAGAGGGCACTCACCACAGCTGGCTGGCGACAGCTCGTCCCTGGGTGCCTTCCGAGCTCGTGCGTAGAGGTAAACACTCAGGACAACTGCAAACATCATGGCCGCAACAGCCAGCTGGAGGAAATGGTCGAACAGGTAATGAAGCTGTAGGCCCCAGAGAAGACCTGCACCAAGGACTGCAGAGGTCAAGACGAAAGCAAAGAATCCTTCAAAAAAGAGGGAAATGACTAGCATTAAACCAGAGCTGGGTTGAAATCATACCACTGTAAGACAAAGCACCCCTGTTCCCAAATCTCAATGCCATTACTCAGGCTACACTCAAACAGGCAAATAAGCACTCTCAACGTAGGTTCCCCACTCTTGCAGTTCGTGAAATATTTTAACACAGTTATCCCTTTTCATAGTGAACAGTCATTATCTGCTCTTAATTAAGGGAAAGCTGAGTGGAAGTACGATACTAAAAGCAGGAAAGAACCTGAAAAAATCACTTGATGCAAACACTCAGCCCAAAAGTCAGGTGGTAAAATCCAAGCAGGGCTCAGGCACACAAGGCAGGGTCTCATCCTTGCCTCCTGTGAGGTTATGAGTATTTATACTCCCTCTTCAGTACAACTCTGTAGTACAACTACTGTGTAGGACGAGAGCTCACCCCACCCCAAGAGCAAAGCAGCGGCCCATGCTCAGTCCACCATCTCCACCCGGCTAAGCAGTTTCATGGGCCTGGCTACAGAAACTGTGGCACTCTTGGGACCCAAGTGCCACTACTTCTGTAAGAACTCTAAAATCAGAGTGTTTGTGAAGAAACAGGGTCAGTCTCTCCACTATTTAAATCCATGTTGTCCATATATCAAGTTTACTCCAAAGAATAATTTGTAACATTTGAACTTTTGAAAATATTCACTGAACGCTCACAAAATTTATAAATATTAAGAATGGCACATGGACTAAAAATAATCATTTGAAATTTCTTAAAAATCGCCATTGTGGTAAAACTCTCATTAAAAGAATACCCAAACACTGGAACCAGGACAACTGGATAAGTTTTACACAGGGACCAGCCATCAGGCCAGCCCTGACTCCGACAGCTCCGAGCCTCTAAAGGTACCAAGCCTCCAAAGGATGCGGGCAGAGATAGAACACGAGCACGAAGACCTGTGGGAGGTGACCTAGGTGGCCCAGACTGCTCCCTTGACTCCACCCCTCTGCCAAGGGCACGCAGCCTGTAGGGAGGGTGTCTGAACCTGTTCCCTCCGAAAAGGAATTCAACTTGGTGACAGCAAACACACACGGAAGCCTTGTGTCTCCCAGCTCAGCTCGAGCTTGGCAGATAAAGGCACATGGCAGCTGAGGCACCCTGGCCCTCCCATGACCCCATAGTCTGGGTTCAGGTGGTAGCAGGAGCAGGCAAGGCACGAACCTGGGCACCCACAGCTAGGACAGCAAGAATGAGAGGGTTCAAGGGCCAAGTGTTGTTCTGATAGATACAGGCAGTTCCCAGCTTGCTGGCTTCAGCCGACAGCTTCTCTACCTCAGGCAAAAGCAAAGCACATCCAGTGGAGACTATCCCTCAGAGCTGGTCTCTTCCCTGCTCCCACCCAGGCAGCTACCCAGACCAGCAGGGAAAATATGTGCCATGTCCCGAGTGCGCTGAGACCCCACCTCCTCCAGGCATCACAGATGCCACAGGATTACAGCCAAGGGCTGCCCACACGGACACAACTGGAGGAGGACCTGCAGAGACAAAGGGAGGACGGGCCCGAGGCTGCTGCAGCAAGCATGTGGCCAGGAAAGGGCCCGAGAAGAAAGGTGACACCAGTGAAGCGGGGCACTGACAAGAAGGGACAGGACATCCGCATCCATGCAGGGTTCCCAGGGTAAGAAAACACTGACAGCATTGCAAGCAGAATGGGTGCTACTGAGAAATGAAACCAGGGCTGATTTCAAGCTCAGCACTGCGAAGGGAGGTAAAGTAGGTAAGGTAAGACAAGGCAGGTAAGGTAAGTAAAGTAAAATAAGCAACTGGGGGGCTGCTATTTCACATGACCTGAGTCCTACCCCTGGCTCCAGGTAAAGTTTCTCTGCATACCCTTCAAACCACTAAGAGGTAACTTCCTGTTTACAACTCACCCTGATGGAGTCAGCTCTGATGGATTAAAGCAGTGATGGTGAACCTCTTAGGACAAACAGCCCACTGTGGCATGCACGCCACATGTTTAAAGAGTGCAATTACCCAAAAGTTTAACTTATCGAATCATTTGAGTCTTTAAAAAAAAAAATCACCATTTAATCTATACTTGAGTCTTCTTCCATCAACAAGAGGCAGTCCTTCTACAACCTATGAGAAAAAAAAGTTTTAATTAAAAAAGCACATTACTGTCATCCTTACACACGACAGATGTCACGTGTGTATATAGTCATCTGCTGTCTCTTAAATCTCAGCGTGCCCGAGGAAGACCTCTCTGAATAAGGAAGCGGAGTGATAGCTTAGAGAGGCCAACAGAGAGCCTGCGCCCTGATGAAGTCATCTCACCTTCAGGAACCTAAATCGAGTTAATCACTCACTTCTCGGTGTGCTAAGACTCCTGCAAAAGCCACCTTCTCCCCCTCACAAACTGAGCCCTCCTAAGACCATAGGTGCTCCAAATACCAACATTCTGCATCTGGTGGGGCCCTCGCCCAGCAATCTGTGACCTCCACTGCTTACAAACTTCAGTGCCACCCAATTTCTTCCTTATTGGCTCCACTCCTGCGCCATCTGTGGTGCCCTGTGCATCTGGTGGTGTGCACGCCACAGCTCTTTGCTCTGCCTTAGACCCACCCCATGACCTCACGAGCGCCAGGAGGAGCTGACCTCCAGGGCAAGGCCCACGCAGGACACAGGCTCCTGGTGCGTGAGGGCACAGCCCTCCCATTTCACTTCCCTAAGTCACTGCAGTGAAACACAGCCATTCTCTCAAATCATCCAACAGCAGTAGGTTTATGTCCAGAGTTGTTCTTCAGCTACGAAGGAGAACCCAGGGGAAAAGCAAACTCCGTCCGATCACAGGATTAGCCACCCGACTTGCTGATTTCAAATGACCCTTATCTCTTTGTTGGGTTTTAATCTGCAAATATAGATATGTGTTTAACATACACCAGGAGATATATATATATATTTTTGGGGGGTGGGGGTCACTCTAGTCTGAACATATATCTGATTTGTAACCACCCAAACTGCTTGTCTAGTAAACATCAAACTATCCCTACCCTACTTGAATGAGTTTGTTTGCAGTGTTACCATGGCAACAACCAGAGGTTCCTTCCTGCAGAACTGGCATCAGGTGCATCCAGGCCCTGGAGCCCATGTTCCGCCTATTGCTGGCCCTTGCCATGATAGAAGAACTACCTGATCCTTGGTTTGCAACTGGCAAACTTGCAAAGCTCTAAGAATAAGATTCTTAAATAAATTATTTACTACTCAGGAATCTCATGTTTCTTTAAATATATTCAGGTAAAGTACTCTACTGAAAGAATAAAAAAAAACTACACTTAGCAATGTGAACAAACTTTAAAGACATGAGTCTGAAAAGCACATAAAACATTTTTTTTTTTTTTTTTTTTTTGGTACAGGGGATCAAACTTAGGACCTTGCACTTGCAAGGCAGGCGAGGTGGTGGAACTACTGAGCTAAATCCCCAGCCCCACGTTCTTGACAACTCATTTCTCAAAAGGATTAAAAATCATAAATTTGTATTTTTAAAAAAAGTGCCACAGCTTATCAACTACTGATTTAAAATGCTGCATCTGACATACGGTGAGGAAGAACCCCACACACACACACACACCCCAGCTATCTCTCCTGGAGTTGGGCCGATTTGCAAACTAGCTTATTCTTTTCTATTTGGTTTAGAAAGTAACACACAAAAATCAGATTTTTAAATTTCCACTAATAGGCAAGTGTTATCTGGCACAGGAGTAAAGTGTGGTAGTTATGACAAACAGCAGCATCTAACCTTAAAACTGCTGTGAATTCACGTATGTAACCACAGAAGAGAAGCTAGGAAAGCCTCACAATGCTATGTCCTACCAGCAAAAACTTACCTTCCCAACTGGCAGCAGGTAAAACAGAGCTTGAACAAAAAACCAGAGGAGGTAGAGCCCACTGGCTCGGGGCTCCCACAGGTCACACAGAGCTGGCAAGGGAGACGGGAAGCTCAGGAGGCTGGGGTTGCCCTGCTGGCACAGGGACAGCAGCAGGATGACGACGATGGGCAGGCCCAGCATGATGAGCAGCGCACCTGTAAGCAGGTGAGGGTGGGGTCAGCCTCAGCCAGCTCAGCTCTCTAAGGCCTGAGCTCAGGCCCAGCTGGTGGTCAAAACCAACCTCCAGGTCCCTCAGAACTCCTCACTGCTGCACAGCCCCCAGAAGAAGCAACTGTGGGCATCAGAGCAGGAAAGCACAGATGCTCAGCACCCCACAGCTACGACCCAGCTCAGGACCCAGCTCCAGACATCTCCCCGAGGACCACAGAGGAGCAGGAGACCAGCAAACTCCTGGCCAGACATCTGGAAATGACCCATCTCACCTTAAAAACTTTGTATCCATAAATTTCCCAAAACTAAAACAAGTCACATTCTTGTCAAGTGTGCAGACTTTGGGTGACAGCAGACACAGTCAGCCAGGCATCACCGCTCACGAAACATAGCAATGAAGCCAGGCAGGATTGGGAACCATTCAGCCAAGCACTTTCCTTTCCCAACTCATCTGTCAGTCCCACCTAGTCACAAACCCCAAAGCTGTGCTGTGGCAAGGGCAGACACCACACCCATGTTCCCACCCCAGGAGTGGCCTTCACAGTTCTCCTGTCCCCATCCAGCACTGCCCCTCCATACAGAGCTATCAGTCCCAGTTTACCACTTCTTTGTACTTCTCTACTCCAGGGCTAAGACACATGCTGGAAATATGCTTAAACACAGCCATACTGACATCCTGTTCACTCCCCCATTATCTCCGAAGGGCCCACCCACCCAGACCTGTGCAGGACACCTACCAGGAATGCCCCCGAACTCTAGCTCCTTCCTCTGAGGGGTGGCCACATGAAACATTCTCAGCAAATCGGGTTCTTTGGCAATAAGCTTTTCTTCCTTAGAATTGACTTCATCAAATTTGACCTCTTCTCTTCTTGGACGAAGGCTATACTGAGTAGACACATAACTGCTTTCTTGGGGCATGGTGAATCTTTCCTAATTAAAACACAGAGAGTATTAAATACTTATATCAACAATTCCACAAAAGGAACTCCATTAAAGAATTCAGATCTCAACAGAGCTGACACTAACAGGAATGAATCTGCCAAATTACATTCAATCTTAGACCAGATTATAATAAACTATTATGATTTCCAATGTGAGGGGGAAATAACATTAACAAAGAAGAGCTGCCCAAAATGAGAGCAACCTGTATATCTCCCTGTCTAGGAGATGTGACTTCCCCTGCTGTGTACCTGAGGTTTTCTGTGAGGTATGTCCTTTCCCTCACTCTGCTCAGGCTCTGGTCCTCCATTGTATATGCTGACGCTGTTCCGAAATGGCTTCTAGGTGGAATATGAGTCATTTCAATCAAAACAACAGCGATGACAAGTTACTACTGAAAATCCAACAATAAGCCAAGTATTTTTACAGCCTTAATTCTAAAGAATTTTAATTCTTATAAAAATGAAAAGGGGGCTCTAGGACATAGCTCAATGTAGAGCACTTGCCTACCATGTGTGAAGTCTGGGTTCAATTCCAAGCACCACCAAAAAAAAAAAAAAAAAAAAA